AACAAAAATTTGCTGACAGAATTGGGGTTGCTTTTCTTTGACAGATGAAATGTATACGTGGAAGACTTGGATCGCCTGTATTTCGTAGCCCCAACTAAGAAATTGGTTGTTTTGACTAATGCTACATCGCTTGGAGATTAACGTGCTATCAGTTCTGCCGTTCATTTCATCGCCTAAATTACCAGATACTGACGAAAATGTTCGCTGGTGTGTGTGTATGTGTGTATGCATTGAGCACTCCCATGCCGTTTCAAATGTTGCTAGTACTAGATCATGGTGAGACTACTCTTACTGGCTAGGAGAAATGAAGATGGGCTAAGTTTCCGGTATGCCTGATATAATAAACCAGAATGATTGTACTCAGGCGTCATGTGTAAGATGATATTTTACGGTACAAACTGTCTTTCATCGTTTAGATGTGGTAAGGTGATATTTTGCGATGCAGTGTTTGTTTCATCCCTTAACTGTAAACACAGACCGGACTACGCATGGGGGTGAGGAGTGGGAACCGTCAGTACAGCCTCCTCTCCGCCATGTAATGAAAGGACATGTAACTGATTTGAAAGACGGATAGGTGAAAGAAAAAGAGAATGAGGGAGAGAAGGTGCAATAGCGTGGAAGTAATAACAGTGATGGAGCAGATGGAAGGGGAAACCAGCATTTGATACGGGTAGTAATTCTATGTAGTTATGAGAAGGCAATGATACCGACTAGAATCCCATAAACAAAGCAAATTTCCAGGTGCCTGATCCCCCTATCACTAGCAATAAACTGCGGTATGGTGCGTCATCTATACGTATTGTAAAGAGAAGCGCTATATGATGTCTTATCTCCCACCATTCTTCTCTCCCACCTCTCTCCCACTGGTTTGATGTAATAACGACACATAAAAATTTCCCGTCCCATCAATAAAAATCGATGGCGATACATGTAATATAAAAAAAAAGTTTTTACATGTGTGATAGATCTATATTACTTGTATGCTGCATTTATGTTTGAAACGATCATGAACGAACCAAAACATGGAATATACGTTACATTATAAAATATTTGCACCAGCAATCATTATAATGGATATCCTTTCTACCATTACATGTATTTTTATGAATTTTTTGCAGCTATGCAATGCAGGAAACGCATATTGACGAGGGGTTGTCTGTATGTTCGTCTGTACCGATTTTTCACTTTTAGGGGACAAATAAATTTTTAGCAAAAAAAAAAAGAAAAAAATCTAATTTTAGCAGATTTTAGTGTCGAAATATACCTACTTCCATCGCGGATGCAAAGCAAACGTGTGTGGCGCAGCGAAGCACGAGCAAAAGCGGTGGAGTACTCGAAATTTCGCCCACGATATGGACATTCATTGCCACGAACACTTAACGGAATGACGCCAAAACGAGCAATGAATGATAACGTTAATCACAACAGCAGGAAAGATAATTTAGTGCTACCCAAAATACACAATCCTTTTCGTTTTTGAATAAAATGTGCAAAAAAAAGAAATGTGGATGCCCAGAAGCCAACAAAGCTGAAATGTTAGTGCATTTACTCGGCGTATTAGACCCGGAACACATGTGACTTAATGGACCGAAAGATTCCTGTACAGACATCTTCTCTTTGCCTTGTGCTACATAAACTCGTCTTCACCACTCTTTGCACCTGTTTAATTTCCTTGTTTTTAGGCTTTTCCACTTTATTCAACTTAAAAAAGCCTCAAATTCGAAATCAGCTCGACAATGTAGTTCCAAATTCAAATGAATGTGTCCCGCAACTTTTTGAAAAGGAAGAATTCGTCAGACTTTCAGGGAAAAAAGTTTCGATCAAATTTATGAATTTGTTACATTCTACTGAAAAAATGCTTAGTAGTAGCTGCAGCTCAAAATAAAGGGCCCAGCAAATAATGGGCACAAATAAAGGGCAGTAACACTTCAATGACTATCCGGGAGTCTTGGTATGCTGCGGTTTTTGCAGTGGCAACAAATAAAGTGACAAATGTTTATTCAAGTAACAATGAAGTAACAAATTTATAAAGCACTGGACTTCATTGTAGAAAGGCGAAACAGCACATATGAGGTCATGTTGCATAACAATTCCTTGCAGCAAAGAGATCCAGAATAACAAAAATCTGCCGAGATCACACCTCGAGAACATTCAAACATCAGTCGTGGTTAAAAATTTTGAACTTTTTGCTGTTTATATGTTTTTTTTTTTGATTCAAAATCCCAGCTCAGGCACTCGAAATTAAGCAAATTTTTCTAGGAAAACCGAAAATCATCAAAATCCATTTTCGCACAAAAAAATTTTCAACTCGAAAAGCAAGTAAATACATCAGAAAATGAACTGCTCGTATCCGAAAAATCCTTGGAAAGGTGTTGAATATAAAAATTAAAAATAAGCAGCAGCGAAATACACTAATCACATGGTTGTTTGACTGGGAAAATAAAAACAGCTAAATTTTAATTGATAGTAAAAACCAGAAGGATTAAGGCAGTGGAGAGATGAGAGATCACCTGTCACAATATGGCTTCAAAAATTTAACACAAATCCAGTAAATAATCACGACAAAGATTAATCCACATTAATTAAAAACCATAAAGATCTAAAAACAATCCATAATTCATCTGTTTTCAGCTAGAAATTTTGACACACTCCAATCCTGAAAAAAAAAAGTTTTAGAAATAAATAAACAAAAACCATGAAATTAACAGAATTGCAGTACTCCTTCCTCCCTCCCGCCCTCAGATGGCTAAATATTCGTTAGTTCTGAATTTTACATACAGTCGCCGACCAAAGGGGGTCATAACTGAGTATTCCTTTCCCAAAGTGCGTTTGTAAGCAGATTGTAGTAACCAGGCTAAAATCACTTATTTCTTAAGTGACCAGGATGATATTCTGTATTCCCTCAACCTGTAAAATTGCTAAAACAGATGGAAGGATGATATGTTCGTGATCACTAGGCAGTGTTTCGAGAAACATAGATTAAGCTTTCTGTTTATAAATGATCGGTGCTGCCCGTTAACATCATCATCACGAATTACTAAACGATAGAAGGGTGCCGAAGAATCCCACATAGTAGATGTGGCAAACCGCACTGACCCTGTCACCAACAGTATGAACAGTCATGATGGTCGTAGTTTGAAACAAACAAAGTGTCGTGAGCGAAGCCCTTCCTCAAAAATTGCCCTGAACCAGAAGGGAATCGAACCATTCCTCTTCACTTCCGGATGCAATGTGTTACCACTATACCACCACTCTTTGTGCCCCAGTTTCAGCCTGGCAGCACATCTGCTGTGTATCTGCCTTTACAAGACAAGACACACACTTTTTTTTTCTCTTTTTCTTTGCAA